AGTGGGGCTGGGACGGTCCCTCTCAGTGGCAGCCCGCAGGTGCAGCGGGAGTTTTGGCATCCCGGGAAACCCGAGGCCGGAGTCGTGTGGCTGCACACGAGTGCGGTGGAAGCGAAGTCTGAGTTTTCAGCTTTGATGTCAGCATTTGCTCTCGTTCCAGCCACGACGCTTTAATCTCCGAAATGCTATGGTAGGTTTTCGCTGCGCTCAGCTTGAATTTTTTCCAAGACATCGCACTGCTGAAATAGCACAATTTGCGTGTGGGTTCCAGTGCAGCGATCAGTCTGTGTTTGTTGGGATGATGAACTTTCCACAAGAGCAAGGGCGGAGCGGGGCTTTTTACATGCAGTCCAGCCAAGTCACTCAGCAGCAAGACTGAAGCCGTTTAAGCAAGATGATTTCTGCTTGGAGCAGCCTCCACTGTAGGCATAGAATCACAGAGTGGTTTGGGTTGGAAGGGACCTCAAAGATCATCCAGTTCCAACCCCCCTGCCATGGGCAGGGACACCCTCCACTACACCAGGTTGCTCAAAGCCTCATCCAACCTGGCCTTGAACACTTCCAGGGATGGGGCAGCCACAGCTTCTCTGGGCAACCTGTTCCAGTGCCTCATCACCCTCAGGGCGAAGAATTTCTTCCTTAGATCTAATCAAAATCTCCCCTCATTCAGTTTAAAGCCATTGCCCCTTGTCCTGTCACTACATGCCCTTGTCCAAAGCCCCTCTCCAGCTTTCCTGTAGCCCCTTTAGGCACTGGAAGGCTGCTGGAAGGTCTCCCGAGAGCCTTCTCTTCTCCAGGCTGAACAGCCCCAACTCTCTCAGCCTGTCTCCATAGCAGAGGTGCTCCAGCCCTCGGATCATCTCCGTGGCCTCCTCTGGACCCGCTCCAACAGCTCCATGTCCTTGTGTTGGAGACCCCAGAGCTGAAGGCAGTATTCCAGGTGGGGTCTCAGGAGAGCAGAGCAGGGGGGCAGAATCCCCTCCCTCGACTGCTGGCCGCACTTGGGATGCAGCCCAGGACACGGTTGGCTTTCTGGGCTGCCAGCGCACGGTGCCGGCTCATGGTGAGTTTCTATAGGCTGCTTTTTCTCCAAAGGAGAACCTGCATATGTCGTGCCTGGATATTCTTGCCTTAATACATTGGTCGTGTTCGATGCCAGGGGGAAATTCCTCATTAGATGTTATTCCGTACATTAATTGCATTAAAGGGATTGTGGTTTGTATTTCAAGGGTTGAGTTGTGCCTTTGAATCCTCAAGAGGAGACCTCTGCTCATGGCTTTTCATGCAGCAATCTTTGAATCCAGAACTGCTCATCTAGGACAGACTTTCACAGCACCGTGGCTTTGTTTGACCTTTTCAGTCCTCTGCTGACGCAACTGCTCGCCATTAAAAACCTCAGTTTGACTTCCCAGACAAAAGATAGTTTTTCCTCACTCAATCTCTTTCCTTGGCAACGTCCTTCTTAAGTATTTACCGATCTACTGGTGATATTTGTGGAGCTCCTGTGGTTCACCGTGGCAATGGAGTCGCTGGGAGCAGGACACGTTGCTTGTTGCTGACACAGAGCCAAGCTACATCCTGAATTATGCAGATGGGCTGAGATTAAATAAAATTTTAGACACGTTTTTCTTAGACTGCTTCTTTTCACTGTTCATAAGAAGAATGGATCCAGAGATGCCCCGTGGGTCTAGGATGTGTGAGTGATGCAGCCCAGGTCTGAAAATGAGGTATTTGTTACAACATTTTTATTCTATCAAAGCCCAGAGGTAAAGCTTTTGACTGGAGAGCTGGTGGCATTGGTGCTGAAAACCCTTCAGAGAAAAATCAAACTCTAAAATCATGCCCAAAATTAATAATGTCTTCTGTCAGCTGGCACTTAAGATGCTTTTTTTTAATATTCTTTGCTACAGCTTCGCCTCGCAGGAGCTTCCACCTACAGCAGGGCCTTCCTGAGGTTTACAGCTGAGAATGGTACTCCAGGCTCATGGGATACTCTTGGCTTGCAAGGCTTCGAGTGGGCACAGCTCGCCCAAGGGGCCAGCGCCCCGAAGAGCGCGAAATAGTTGTGTTGCTTCTCTTCCTACATGAAATCCCATCTTTTGAGTCTTGCTGCAATTTATCTTCCTTGGTCTTACGTCCAGTAGGATTTTCATTTTAATTGCAATACTCCCTCTCTATTGAGTAAGGCCGTGAATTTACTCCTTCCCTTTGCTCTGGGAATGGGATTCCTCGCCCGCCTTAAGAGCCTTTCTGCAATTTTATTCTCCTGTGTACCTCAATTAGCACGCTCCTAATCCGAGGGGTTTCCTTTTCAAGGACCGTGATTTGCACTTTGCAAGACCGATGTAGAAATTACTCACTGTGTATCTTTCTCTCTCTCTTGAGTTTACAATGGTCTCAGTTGAAAACTTTTCATAGAATATGACGTTGCTCTCTTCTGTTATTCTTTTATTACTCTTTATAGAGGTGATGATCTTGGTATTAGAGGTAATGTAGGTTAAGTCCTCATCAGATTTTACTGAAAACTCAACAGCTCACCATGAGTTACTTCAATTATTCCAGCCTTCAGCACTAAGCTGCTGGCCTTCAATTGTAATTTAGGTTGGTTTGGGGGTACTTGAAAAGGTTTTGGAGCTGCCTGGATCACACCTTGTCATTGTTTGGCTTTCTGAATCAAACTGTCTGGTTTTCTTAGAGGACTTTATCACAGTTAATGCTTCTTAAAACTGTTTGGAGCCGCAGCTTCCCAAGACCGGGTTGTGTCAGTGTTTTACATGAGATGGAAAACTCCGGTTAGACTGGGAGTTCCTGCAATGTCTCCTTAGTGCATCCTGATGGCTGACACCGAATACAATTCCCCAAGCATGTGAGTTATAGAATCATAGAATCACAGAATGGTTTGGGTTGGAAGGGACCTTAAAGATCATCTAGTTCCAACCCCCCTGCCATGGGCAGGGACACCCTCCACTACACCAGGTTGCTCAAAGCCTCATCCAACCTGGCCTTGAACACTTCCAGGGATGGGGCATCCACAACTTCTCTGGGCAACCCGTTCCAGTGCCTCACCACCCTCAATGTAAAGAATTTCTTCCTTATATCTAACCTAAATCTCCCCTCCTTCAGTTTAAATCCATCGCCCCTTGTCCTGTCACTACACACCCTTGTGCAAAGCCCCTCCCCAGCTTTCCTGTAGGCCCCCTTTAGGTACTGGAAGGCTGCAATAAGATCACCCCGGAGCCTTCTCTTCTCCAGGCTGAACAGCCCCAACTCTCTCAGCCTGTCTCCAGAGCAGAGGTGCTCCAGCCCTCGCATCATCTTCGTGGCCTCCTCTGGACCCGCTCCAACAGCTCCATGTCCTTCTTGCGTTGGGGACTCCAGAGCTGAACACAGTATTCCAGCTGGGGTCTCACGAGAGTTGAGTAGAGGGCCAGTAGAGGGAGTTAAGGAGATTGAAGCCATCCTACGGTGATCTTTGGCAAACTGCAGTTTGTTCTGTTTGGATCATACACGGGAGCACAAGTTCTGCACTACTGAAGCTTTAGTAATCTCAGCACCGCATTTCCAGTATTGTTGGCGAGTTGATGAGTGCCGTTGGGCAGATTAACGAGGCTGTCCTAAACCTGTAGCAGGACCTAAGGTTATTCCATTGCTGACACACTCTGGCCTTAGTGTTTCTCTGTTTTACCCCCTTGACCCGGGCTGGGTTGGGCTGCCTGAGCACGTCACCGAGCAGACGCAGAGCCGTGCCGTTCCACGCACAATTGGATTCTGGTGTCTGATAATTCCTGAGGGGGTTGTGCTACCTTTAATAGTGATCTCTTATGTAAAGGTAGGGGGGTGTGTATGCATTGACTTAAAACATGCCATAAAATCTATAATCATTACGCTTTTGGGTCCCATGCTGTGTAATTTTCGGACCTCTGTGGGGCTTTGTAAAAAAGGCTGTGAACGTCGTAGCGCTCCCTGTGCTGAGCCTTTACGCTCGCTAGCAGGACGTCATACCTTCGTGTCCTCAAGCCAGGATGTCGTTCTGACATAGAAAATTTCAAAATGAAAACCCTCCCATTGTGTTTTAGAACTGCTTACGACATGTAGACTGGAAATATATATATTTTTTTTAAGGAAGTGTTATACAGCTTGATACTGCTGCTGGGATGCTGAGCGCCTTTGCTGGACGCCGATGAGAAAAATTTGCAGTTAGCCCCACACTGAGATTCCTCCCTGTGTGGGCTGGTTTGATTTTCCTTTGTGACTCAAAGGTGATTCAAGGAGCTCTGTGCAGCTCAGTGAGGGTTCAGACACCGAGGCTGGTTTTCTCCCTTTTCTTCTGGTGCCTTTCAGAAAGCTGATCCACGCCAAAAGCCGCTGGCAGCTGAGCGTAAACGTTGCGTGCTCGTGCTGAGAAATCTGCTGCTGAGCTGTTGGGTGGGAACGGGGAGGCTCTGGCTCCTACCCGTTGGGTGCCAAGAGTTTCGCGTGCGACTTAACAGCAAAACGGTTTGTACATATGCTTAATGACTGTGATTGCTTATTTTTACACGGCGATGGGTCAGAATTTAAATCTTTGCTCTTTTTTAAAGAAAAACTGTGGGGGTTTTTTTTTTCCTTTCTCATGAGTATACTAAGAGTAAACTCTGGAAGGTTGTGCTGAAAAACAACAGCTATGTATTATCTTGGTTGAAAAAGCAGCCCTTTTTTGGCCGTGCCTCATCCTCTGCAAGGGCTATCATCTTCCTCACGGCTCAGATGAGTGCCAGCCCACATTTGGGGTTGTAATCTGCCTGGTGTTGAGTACAACGTAGGGAACTCCGTGTCTTGTTCCCTAAGTCCAAGCGTTTAAGCGGCCAAGGCTGGACGCTTTCATGTGGCCGTGTTATTGCTTTGAGATCCGTTTGTCTGTTGGAGGGTGTCGCCGAGCAAAGCCTGCGCTGGTTTGGCCTTCAGGTCATTCACAGTGCACGCTGGAACGTACTCGCTTCCTGGGCAGGATCAAACAGAAAGGACACTCGAGAGGTAAAAAATAAAGGCTCTGCCCAGGGAAAGATTTCCACGCAGGAAGAAGGGTATTAACGTTGTCCCGTTGACTGATTTCAGTTCTTTTCATGTTTTTCCAGCTGAAGGGCTTCCCCAGGTGTATTACTTCGGACCGTGTGGAAAGTACAACGCCATGGTACTAGAGCTGCTTGGTCCTAGCTTGGAGGATTTGTTTGACCTCTGCGATAGGACGTTCACTTTGAAGACGGTATTAATGATAGCCATCCAGCTGGTGAGTAACCGTGGGCAGGACTCTGCCTGGCAGCCTCCATGAGGCCGACTCGTGTTTATGTCAGTCCTGGGTTAGCTGAAGGACGGGGTTGGTACAGTGCGAGGTTCAGGGGTGTCTGTTCCTTGGAGAGAAAATCTCCTTCGACTGTAGAATCACAGAATAATTTGGGTTGGAAGGGACCTTCAAAGGTCTGGTCCAACCCCCCCGCAATGGCAGGGACGTCTTTCACTAGGTCAGGTTACTCAAAGCCCTGTCCAACCTGACCTTGAACACTTCCAGTCATGGGGCATCCATAACTTCTCTGGGTAACCTCTTCCAGTGTGCCACCACCCTCATCATGAAGAATTTCTTCCTTATGTCCAACCTAAATCTTGCCTCTTTCAGTTCAAAGCCATTGCCCCGTGTCCTGTCCCTACAGGCCTCGGTAAAAAAGTCTTTCTCCATCTTTCTTGTAAAAGAAAGCTGCTCAGGTTTGAGAAAAACTATTGCTTATGAAGGGAAGGTCAAATTATGCTTATGAGCAAACTTGCTCCTTGCGTAGCAGAACCAGTGAAGCCAGATTCCTATGGACTTGCATCCTGTGTCCCCTACACGCCCCTGCCCCAGTATCTACCCCAGCTCCCTCCCTCTGTTTGGACATCCCCTGGAACATCTCATTTCTCACCTGCTCCCGGGACACAGGGAGCACAGCACCCTCCCACACTCCTACCAGTTTTACTGGTTTGGTGCTACCAGGCTGCTCATAGACTGAAACCTCTCAGCGTGATGGGAGCTGAGCTCTCCTTAGCTAAAACACCAGCATTCAGGGTCTCCACCTTGGTCAAACTTAGTCGAAATCAGCTGATGGGTTTAAATGACTAACAGTTGGAAAATAAGAGATTTATGGGCAGCATCACAAAGCCCCTAATTTGCCTGGAAAGGAAAGGAAACCACACTGAAAGTGATAGTTTGGATTTGTGTTTGGGTTACAAGTAGACAGTGTGAAAACCAAACGTACTGAACGTGGTGAGTGAACCTCCAGAAGTCAGCAGGGCCAGTCAATTGTCATTTTAGTTTGGCTTTCTGGTTTTCAACCCGTGGTCTGCAGGTACTCGAGTGGCGCAGCAGGAGTGGGACTGTATAGTCGCATTAGCAGATCTGTGGGTAGAAGTGTTGAAGGCAAGAGAAGGTGGGAAGGGAGTGAGGAGCACAGTCCTTTCTAAGTGAACTGAAGTTTGCCACAGCAGAATCTCAAATGGAAAATGGAGGTTACAGATACAGAAGTTTGAACGGTGCCTGCCTGGCATTGGGTTCGCGAGGTTGTCCTCCTCGGGCTGAGCGATCCAGTTTTGTTGGCTTTGAGTGTTCCTCCATCAGCAGAAAACCAATTTGTAGTATTATTTTTGATTAAAGCAAGTGGCAACAGATGACAAAGCCTTGGATCTACCTTGTAGGACCTTTCGGTTGTAAAGGTGTAAAATGTAAAGATGTAGATTTATTCCCACGTGGCTGCTGGGGACATCAGGATTGTCACGGCAGTGTCCGCCTGCCTTTTGCCAAGCCCTAGGGCTGCAGATCAGCTCTGTACTTGGATGGTCTTCACTGGCATCACCTGCTGATCTTGTGACCTCAACCAGCCCGCCAGCTCTTCTAGACACTGGTAGAAGTTTGGAAAACAGATGCTTAGGGTGGTGCAGGGGGGCACCAAAAGCAGTCGCAAATGGAGGAGCTGATGTTCTCCAAAAGGAGCGGGCAGCGCTGATGCCCCATTTTCCATGGGGAGATGTTGTAGGACCTTTCCAATCTTCTCAGGCAGATGACATGAGTTCCCAGCTTGGAGCATATGCAATTAAGGAGACAGATTTAACATCTTCAGGCATGCCCCATCTCCTTCCCTGGGAGGTTTCCTGGGAGAAGGGCTCACCTGGCCCTCGGAGACGTGTTTTCTGAAGGAGCTGGCACTCACTGCTCAACTGGAATGAAAACCCTTCGCTTCTGCCACAAGGCTTTTGGGGGAATCGTCTTAGATTTATCTTAGTTCCTGCACTAAATCATGGCAGTCACTGTGTCACGCTCCGGTGTGAGAGGCGCATCGGAGAAGGGAAGTTGGACTGTCAAAGCCTCCATAAATTGTGTTTTGCTCTTGCTTTTGACCAGCCAAGCCTGCTTAAGCTGCTGGAATTCTGACCAGGAGCGTGAGGAGACATAAGACTTCACTGCCAGAATCCGGTGCGTCGCACAAGCGGTGTTTCTCTGCTCTGACGCTTGACGCGCCTGTTAACGAAGCCTATTATCCAACAAAGTTAATATCCAAGGAGACTTCCAAAAATGGGAATGGCCTGGTACCACCCAGACAGCAGGGAGAAGCACCCTGCCCTGGTGTAGGGAGTGAGGGACAACTCAACACGTTGCAGAAAACCCCTGCTCTGGTTCGGTTCTCACCAAAATGTCATCAAATTATATCTTTTTTAAGCCTAGGAAGACCACCCAAAGGTAAAGGAGTACTAATTTTCTGTAGGTCCTTGTGGCATGGAGCTTGGGCAGCTCCCAGGAGATGACCCCGATGCTGGGAGTCACCTTTGCGTTGCCTCTGCTGCCTTGGGCTTGATCCTCTCTGGAGGGGACGGGAGGAAACATCTGCCGTGGATGTCTTTGCGCTTGTTGGAGCAGCAGCACTGGCAGCCGGGGTGCCCTGAGCTAGTGGGATGTTAAGCGTCCACCTCTTTGTCCTCTAGAGAGATCTTTCTCTCCTCACTTGCATGGAATGATCCCCGCTTGAGGAGCATCTAGTCCCTTCTCTGCTGTTGACATGGTTCCTTGCTGTTGCCCACTGCAGGCTCAGCGTGACAGCACCCAGCTGCTGCTTTCAAGGTCCCATTTAGCTGCCTTCTCCCCTGTGTCCCTCCTCAAGCCTGACCACTGCTGCAGCACGTCTCTGACACATCTAAAAACTAGGCAGGAACTTTGGGCGTGGTGTTATGGTTCTTGATCTCCTTTTTTAGTGTCCAGTGGTCAGTTTGTAACTAGAGGCATCCATGAAAGATGTTTTTTAATACACATACATGCTTGGCTGCTCTTCCTTAGCTTGACAGGTAGCAGCATCGCAGGACTGGAGTGGATCAAGCTGCAGATGTTAGAAGAAAGAGAAGCCCTCTAGGAGAAACAGATAAACCGTCATTGTTTTAAGGAGTGTTGCTTGCGATTATGGGAGAATTTAAATGTGGTTTTACATCAAGAAGACTCTCCTGGCTGGGGGAGATAAAGACTGGATGATAACAAGCCTTCAAGGACAGCCTGTTGTGGAATCTTCTCAGATGAGATGGCACAGTAGGAAGGTCTGCCTCGGCAGGGGGATGAGCCGCTCAGCCCTCGGGCTTGTCACCAGGCTTGCATGTTCTTCTGGTAAGCATGGGTTGTGCTCTGAGCTGTGACAGCAGCTGATCAAACACAGCTTGAGTCGAATCAGAAGCGGTCTTACTCTCACGCACGGTTTCATACCACTCGGTGAAAACCTGCCTTGAAGGAGCTCTCTGCTTTTCCTTCCCCGGTGGAAGTTTTCCAGCTCCGTTACTCCTGTAACTCGTGCATCGCTGGCGTTTCACGTTGCCCTGCTAGGAGCATCGAACTGGGACTGCTTCCTCCATCCCCCGCGTGCCTTTCCAGCTCCATTACTCCTGTAAGTTGTGCATCACTGACGTTTCATGTTGCCCTGCTAGGAGCATCAAACTGGGACTGCTTCCTCCATCCCCCGCGTGCAGCTGAGGAGGTGAGTGGTTGACGTTCCCGAGTGAAGCAAAGCTTGGCAATCACAAACACATTCATAGAATCATAGAATGGTTAGGGCTGGAAGGGACCTTCAAAGGTCATCTAGTCCAACCCCCCTGCAAGGAACAGGGATATCTCCAACTAGATCAGGTTGCTCAGGGCCTCGTCCAACCTGGCCTTGAACGTCTCCAGGGATGGAGCATCCACCACCTCTCTGGGCAACCTGTTCCAGTGTTCTACAACTCTCATGGTAAAAAATTTTTTCCTAATATCCAACCTGAATCTACCTCCCTCTATTTTAAAACCATTACCCCTTGTCCTATCACAACTGGCCCTCCTGAACAGCCTCTCCCCATCTTTCTTGTAGGCCCCCTTGAGGTACTGGAAGACCGCTATAAGGTCACCCCGGAGCCTCCTCTTCTCCAGGCTGAACAGCCCCAACTCTTTCAGCCTGTCCTCATAGGAAAGATGCTCCAGCCCTCTTATCATCTTCGTGGCCTCCTCTGGACCCTCGAACATGAGACTTCTTTAACATGAGTCTCTAAAGGGCCATCTTAGGGCCTTGTGGAGCTGTGTTTGGGCTGGGGGAGAATGGTTTGTGTTCTGGCTTCAATTTTTCACTCTCGGCCAGGTCCAGCACGTGTGATGCTCATTGACAACTCGGTTTGGTTGGGAGTAAATGTTATTTTCACCCTTGCTTTAAGTGCTTGCTGTCAGAGACGAGGCCTGCTGTGCCAGGCACTGTGCGAATACTTCTGGCTGCCATCAGCACCAAGTCATGGTGAAGCTTTTTTAGTCGGGACCATCAAAATCATCTTGTGTAAGAGACACCAAGAGAGCCTTTAAACAGGAGGAATTTTTCATTTTTGCTGATGGATCTATATTCAAGCAGGTGATGTGTGGAAGAAGGGCTCAGATTTCTCAGGAAGGCCTAGAGGTGGCATTGCCAGTGAGATCAGATCTTCAAGAGTTACCTTTTTGGGGAAAGAGGGTTTGTTAACCCTTGCTTCCTTGACAGGAGGAAGGAAAATAAAAGCATGGTTTTCTTTGACATCTGATTAAAGGTCCCAAATATCCTCTCGTTTCTCAGCCGCAGCGCAGGGGTCCTGCTGCGTGCCAGGGAATGCCCTCCCAGGGGCTTCTCCGACATCTGAAATGGAGATCTATGGCTCCAGAGATGGGCTCGGCCGGCCGTGGCCATGGAAATCCTGCTTCAATTCGCAAGCAGAGTCTCCCATCCACCCTCAGCGTTCCTGTGCCCTATGATAAAATGTCATAGTCTGTTCTTATCCCTGTTGAACAGAGCAGATGTTAACGCTGTCACTGGTTTTCCGGTGTGAAGGCAATTCCAACAGTTAGTCCCAGCTCCTTGCAGTGGTTTCTCTGTCCGTAGAATTAACACCCACACATTACAGCCTGTAGGTCAAACACGAAAGGAGTGGGCATCATGTCTCTGCATCCAGCGCGCATCCAGAGTGGGAACTCCACTCCTCCTCCTCTTCAGCTCTGCGATGGCTCTGGCTCAGGCTGAGGTCAACGCCGCGCCGGCGCCGCTCGTTTCTCCTCGGGCGGCAAGTCTGGAAGGGCAACACCGCGCAGATGGTCACCGGCTCCCCATCACTAGCAGCCACAAGGAGGACGAGTGTCTTGTCAGGGTGGATAAAGCACGGAGGCTGCTCCAGGAAACATCTTTCTGCCTTCGGGAGCGTCTTTCAGCCGTCATGGGCTGTGCGCAGCTCTCTGGCAGCACATCACGAAGCATCCAGGCAGGTGGAAGTAAAGAAAAAGGAATATGAAAGACCCAACAGCACGTGTGTGTGTGGTGGGAGCAAAAAAGCAGGTGAATAAGTATCTCTGAGTGCTGCTGGAGTGTCCTGGCCCATACGACTTGCCGTGAGGTTTTAAGGAACGCGAAAAAATACGCTTTTTGTTCAGGTTGTGTAATTGCTGTTGGCCGTTTCAACCACCGAGCTTCTCTGGCAGCAGAGACAAATGAGATGAGCCCGTCAGGCTCTGTTTGGAAGCTCGTTAGGTGTGGAGAGACGAGGAAACGCTTTGTTCCAGCTTCAAGGGTTGCATCTTAATTTGAACTGCCTCCCGACGTACCTTTTTGTCTTCCAACCTGCTGTGTCCTGTAGGTGATTCCGAGCGTGAAGAATGGCTGGAGCGCAGAGCATCTGCTCTGCTCTGCATCATCCTATAATTGATTGGAAATAATGGCTGTTAGCTGTGAAACCCATTTTCTCCGCGCGTTGAGATAAATCACTGCTTGGAGGGGAGGGGAGCGGCAACACGTGCTCTTACCTTCCTTGAAGAGCCTTTGAGCAAGTCGTGTTTTTTCAGACTGTCAATTTTTTTTCCTGGCTCCTGCCCTCCCTGTACAGCGTTTTTTATTTTGGAAGGAGTGCTGCCCCCTCCTGCCTGTTACTTCTTTCCGAGCGGTGGAAATGCAGCAGATTTTCCTTAAAAATGAGGTAGCTGATAAACCTCTGGCAGCAGGGTGGGAGTGATCACATGCACGTGGAGCTTCCAACTAGGTGTGGATCCAAGATCTATAAAAAAAAAAAGAGAGATGTGGGTTTGCCAGCTGAGGATGTGTCTGGATTCAGAGCGAGGAACCGAGAAGCGGTCAGGGTCTATCAGCCCGCGGGCCCTCATGCTTGAGGCAAGCGGGGTGGTTGGAAGGACTGACATGGGGTTACTGGTGTCGGGGTAGCTGCTCAGCTGGGGGAGAAGCGGGCTTGGTGATCCAGAGCAGCGTACACTCCAGCCTGCCCCGTGCCAGATGCACGGAGCTGCCCTCCCAGTAGGAGTCCAGTGCATGGAATCATGGAATGGTTTGGGTTAGAAGGGACCTCAAAGATCATCTAGTTCCAACCCCCTGCCGTGGGCAGGGACACCTTCCACTACACCAGGCTGCTCAAAGCCTCATCCAGCCTGGCTTTGAACACTTCCAGGGATGGGGCAGCCACAGCCTCTCTGGGGAACCTGGTCCAGTGCCTCAACATCCTCAGAGGGAAGAATTTCCTCCTTAGATCTAATCTAAATCTCCCCTCTTTCAGTTTAAATCCATTGCCCCTTGTCCTGTCACTACATGCCCTTGTAAAAAGTAGTTCCCAGTAGGAACCCAGTGCAGAACTGCCTGGGAGCCAGTGACTCAGCCTGGGGGGTGACCAGCTGGTGGCTCTCACCTTAGCTATTCCCCAAGTCTGATGGCATTGCACCGTGAGGTCCACTGCAGCGGTGCGGCAGTGACCTCTGCGGACTGATGCTCGTTAGTGCAAACTTTGGAGTTGGCGAGAGCTTGGTGGTGGTTTGTAGCGTCGCAAGCCCGCACGCAGATGGGAAGATTTTGGGTCTTTCCAAAGAAACATCTTAAAAAAGCCACCGTGCGTGCAGGGCAGTCATGGGCCAAGACAGCCATAAGTGGGAATTCAGATATTTTCATGTAAAACCTATTTAAAAAAAAAAATTAGAAGGTAATAAATTAAATTGTGAATTATTTCCAGTTGGAATCTAATAAGTTAGGAACTCAAAGGAGAACCTCTTGGTGACCTACTTGAACTTCACCTGCAGTGTATTTGGTTTCGAAAGTGATATTAATGATGAGCATCTGCACAAGGTGTGTTCCTGGAGGGGAAATGGCCCTCCATCACCTTGGAAGCGGGGTTCCTGCTCTTTTACCTTCCCTTCTCAGTTGTACTGCCAGAACAAAGTTAATCAAAAGCTGAAAAACATTCCAGCTACTCCTAGTTGATGAGATTAATTCTCATTTTTAGTCAGTGTTGAGGATCGTAAGGCTTCTGCCTGCCCAAAAAAACCCCTCCATGAAGAATCTGGCACGACTAAGACAACATATGGGTCGAGGGAGGAGGGTGGTAAGACACGGAGCAACAAGGGAAGGCTGTGGGCAAGGGAAGAGCTCTTGGTAACGGGTTTAGTGTGTTTAAAATCAATGCAAAAAGGCTGCTGCAATTCCCTGTGGAATCCTTCCAAGAGCTGTGTCCCGGTGGTAACGTTGCAGAAACAGCCTTTGGAGTTTCTGCTGGGATAAAGTCAGGGAGCACAGCACGGGAGCCGGAGAAAGGAGGCGATGACAAATCCCTCTTCCAACTCTCCATCGGAGGAGGTGACCCAGCTCCGATGGTAACTTCTGCCTCAGTTGGCTCCATCGCTGTTGGGTTTCTCGTAGAGGAGCTGAAATCTGAGGTGGCCCCGAGCCTCGGCTCGGTGACGGGCTGACGAAACCTCGCTGCCTCGTTAGCCGGGAGGGCGCGGGAGCCGCTCTGCTCACAAATAACTTCTGCCTCCTCGTTTTGCAGATATCTCGAATGGAGTACGTGCATTCCAAGAACCTCATCTACCGAGACGTCAAGCCGGAAAACTTCCTTATCGGCCGGCAAGGCAACAAGAAGGAGCACGTCATCCACATCATAGACTTTGGATTGGCGAAGGAGTACATTGACCCGGAAACCAAAAAACACATACCTTACAGGGAACACAAGAGCTTAACTGGAACGGCCAGATACATGTCCATCAACACTCATCTCGGCAAAGGTCTGTGTGGTTGACGGGAGCCGAGTCCCGTAGACCTTTCACGGGAGCTTGGCTTACGGCTCTTTCATGCCCTTCAAGCTGTTTGTAAGCAGCTCAGTGCCATGATGCTGCTTACAGTTGTGAGGCTGTCGTGGTTTAGGCCAATCTGGCAACTGAACTCTTCACAGCCGCTCACTCACCCTCCCCCACCCTCCGGGATGAGGAAGGGAATTACAGGGGAAAAGGGAAAGAGAACAATTTACTACTACTGCTACCTATATATGTATGGATATGTACAAGGGTAAATATATACAAACGAGTGATGTACGGTGTGATTGCTCACCACCCCTTGACCGAGGCCTGTCTTGTCCCGAACTAACGATCCCGAAACAGATAAATCCCAATACTGCAATGCTGGATGAACGGGAGGCCCGAAAATAGAGAGCGAGACAGAGCGAGCACCCTGAGAGTCCGAAAGTGAGAGTCCTGGAAGTGCAAAGGCCCTTCTTTCCAGCTGTCCCTCACTTTTATACTGGGCATGATGCTGCATGATATGGAATGCTAATTGGCCAGTTTGGCCTAAATCCTAAGGCTAGGTACAAACCATAAGGAGAGTCGTGGACCCCCCGTCCCGGCCATGCTCCCCCCTATCCTGCTGTGCTCCTGCACATGGGCAAGAACCCGGCAGCTGGAAAGTCCTTGAGACCTCAGTGCCAACCACAACCATCAGCGCACTGCCAGCGTTCTCCTCGGAGCAAGTCCCAGACTGAAACCAAACCACGGAGCTCTTCTGGCTGCTGAAAAGAAGAGCTGACCCTGTCCCAGTAAAACCAGGACAGAGGCTTTCTTTTTTCCCCACTTTTGAGGAATTGAGACAGCTGAAATGTTGGAAGCCTCATAATTATAGTTTTTATTAGGAACTAAATAACTGGTAGCAACAACCCCGCATGGGTAAAAGGCAAGTAGGTGGGTAGTAATTACCCTACTAAATGATGACCAAGTGGATTTTTATAGCACAGCTCGGTACCAGTACCGTCCAGTTTCAGGTGTTAGGAGTCGAATGTTCCCTGACCTAATAATTGGTTGGAGAAAATTAATGATTTCACTACTTTTAAACCTGGCTTTCATCTCTTCTCCTCTCCTCACTGCCTTCTGTGGCACCAGGTCACATTTCTGTGGCTGAAAGGCAAAAAAACGTATGAAATGTTTATATTGACTTAAACTCGTAAGAGCAGTAGGATAATGGAATATTCTTTGAGTAACCTCCCAGTTCTGAGATCAAGATCTGGCTTTCATGTCTCTTGGAGAGCTCACTGTCTTTGGGGAGGAAGGAGGGATGAGCCCAACTTCTGGGTTTGGAAAACCCGGTGAAGAGTGAGGAAGGGATGGAGGGATGAGAAGCCTCAGAGGGAGCGGGCTCGGAACCTGCTGGTGCTGGGGTTGCACGCTGCGGGTGGATTCCGAAGGAAGATCTGCTTGCGATGGAAGTACACCGCGTGCCTTCTTTAGGACCCGCTTCCCTGCAGGATTTGCAGCTCACGCCGCAGCTGATCCAGGGGAAGAGTCAGTGCTGGGCAGGTGTATCTGAGGAGGGGGAGGCTGGCGACCGGCTGTCTCTGCCCAGAGGGATTTCGTGGGGTGATTTTTCCAGCCCAGGTGGAGTCGGTCCCGTCACATTTCAGGACCGAGCGAAGTGAAGGAGTCTGATGGCAGTTCTTCTGAAAGACAAGCGCACTCAACCATCTTTTCGAGAAGTTCATCTGCATCTTTGCACTAAATTACCTGGGACATCCTCTTTTTTTTTCCCTTTTTACAGCTATACCAGGGTAACCTGTTGTCTCAGTTGCCTTCTTCTGAGTGTCCTCCCTCCCAGCACCTTTTGAGGGTGAAATTTGCTGCTGCTTTTGAGGGAGTCCTGCTGTGCCAAGCGCTGCCTTTGTCTCCTCTTGCAGATGATGCAGCGCCAGGCACGGCTCACGCACAGTTTGTCGTGGCGTGTGGGCTGCATGACTAGCTCCGCGCGGGGCTGCGGCTCGGAGCACGTTATCCGCCTGCCGGCGGAGATTTGGAGGAGAGGAGGTTGCATCGAATCGGCTCTGCGAGCTGAATCAACCCCATCTGCACGATGCAGCCCGGCACAGCTGTTGCGCTCCAGATTTGTTGTTCTCTTGTGTCCTCCCTTAGGTTTTCCGATACATTTTGGCAGATTATTTTAAGGATGCTTTTTCCTTTGGCTTGAGCCCCTTTTTCCCACCCCCCACCTGGTTTATAACCATAACATCTGCATGGCAACAGCAGCAAGTGTTTCGCCAGAGAAGCAGTGCTAGAAGGAGCTATTTTGGATCTGCTCTGATGTGGTGAGCAGCAGAAGCGACTGGGAAGGGGTTGGCACTGGGCAGCGTGGTCGCTCCCTGCAGCTGGTTGCAAGTGTCCCCTGCCTGTTGCTGTGCTGTTCGGAGGAAATACCGTAATCCAGGACCACATCACGGGGGCACTGGTGGCACCGGCAGTCCAGAGAAGAACCGGGGAGCTGTTTTATTCCTCTGCAATTAGTACTTCCACCTCTTATCCGTTCGGCGTAAGGCTGGGCAGCATGTCTGACAGCTCCTGTGTTATCTCATGCCTTCTAGCTGGCCTTTTTTTTACGTCTTTTGTGGTTTTTTGTAGCAGGTTCAAGGTATTTTTGTACAAGGTCTGAGCTACAGACAGCAAATGAATTTCCCTGTGATAACCTTATCCCAGAAAAAGGTGTGGCTGCTGATCAGATCTGAGATCCGTTTCCGCAGCTGCGGCATTGATCTGTCATCTCTTCTGTTCCAGAGCAAAGTCGTCGAGACGACTTGGAAGCCCTCGGCCACATGTTTATGTATTTCCTCCGAGGCAGTCTGCCCTGGCAAGGGCTGAAGGTAGGTTTGAGCTTTCGGTTTTGCCCTTTGAAACTTTGTCTGGCCTCTGCCCAAACACAAATCCAATGGGGGAAACGTTTGCAAAATCCAGGCAGAAACGCCGTCGTTTCCTTTGTGTCCTTGAAGTCTAACGACAAGGCGTTAGCTTGACCTACAGGAAAGATTTTAGATAGGAACGTGTTACCTGTCGCTTCAAGTTATCGTTAGCTGAATAGGTACAGCTCTGGGGAGAAGG